AAAAATAGTATATATTTACTACCACTTTAAATATGAAAACAAAATCTTCCGGAAAATCCGGAAGAGTTGGCAGGTAGGTAGTTAAAAATGAGTTTGACCACCATGACACATAAAAAGTTACAACAAATATATAAAAGCATAATAGTCTTGGCGATATGGCCCAGTAACCACACGGGCAGCTGATCTCATAGTGTTAAAGCAAATTCTGGCGGATGAGATAGGTGCCCAGTTCCAGAGCAAAACTATCAACTATGGCAATCGCTAATCTCAACCCGGTCAAAATATAAATATATAGTTGAGTAAGATTTTTCGGTAATTCTTTTACTTACACTTGGAAACTCTATTCTCCGAAAGAGTGTAAGTTGGTAGGCATGCATTACCCTACCTCTAGGAAAATGATTTTTTTGAAAAGCGTAAAAGCTAACAGATATGACATCGTATGGTTATCATACAAGAATATGTATGCTTAATGAATGAAATGCAGCGCAGCGGTCAAAAACATTATAAATTAAATTTATAAATCTAAAATATAAATCGAAATCATACACTTTACCACACACATAATTTTACGCAGAATGTATAAAAGTTGGCGAGCGCGCAATTCTAATTTACAGAGACGCCAACCTGCTCCGGACAGCAAATATATATTTTAAAGTGGTAATATTGTGATTCTTGGTTTAATAAATTCAATTTAGTAGATTTTTACCCACCTCTATTTCTAAATAATTCGCAGGTTTATATAATTCACAACTTCAGAATACTTATGTAATGCTATACCTATTGAAAAGCAAGCAAAAATTTTCTAAATTTACTTTGCAGTTATTTACCGTATATGGCGTGTCCGGAGAAGTTGGCATCTCTGTAAAAAGAACAGAGCTAGCATGCATACCTGCCAACTTTTAATCTCTTCCATTATCATTTTTACCAGTGGTACTAAAATGGAATTAAAACTTCAATTTTAAGCAACCAAATACGCTCTATTTGAGAAAACTTAGGATGACAACCATGATAGTAACGCATATTAATATATGTGATTAATTTTTGTAAGAATAGTGGTGATCAAAATCATTTAAAAATTAAGTTTATAAAAGAAAAAATAGTATATAATTACTACCACTTTAAATATGAAAATAAAATCTTCCGGAAAATTCGGAAGAGTCGGCAGGTATGAGCTTGGTGCATAACTTCTCCCTTTCTAATATATAATTTTATTAGTTATTTAAAGTGGTAATACATTCTATGTTTCAGTATTTTGCTTTTGATCTTATGCATTCGATTGGCAAAAATTCTGACTATCATGAAATCTGAGCAGTTTAAATAAATAGGACTAGTTTAGGTATTCCACACCCTTCTACAACTACGGAATTTTAGTAGCTTCAGAAAATATTTATCTTGACGATATCAAACGGCAGTTCTTAGATGTTTATTCCTTAGATATTTATTTATTATTAGTTCTTAGATTCTTCTTCCACAATATTTAACGTGATAGCGTTTCACTAATAATCGGATAGTTTCACTCTCCGATTCACAGGACTTACATACCTGCCAACTCTTCCGGATTTTCCGGAAGATTTTGTTTTCATATTTAAAGTGGTAGTAAATATATACTATTTTTTCTTTTTTAAACTTAATTTTTAAATGATTTTGATCACCACTATTCTTACAAAAATTAAGCACATATATTAATATGCGTTACTATCATGGTTGTCAACTTAAGTTTGCTCATATACAGCGTATTTGTTTGCTTAAAATTGAAGTTTTAATTCCATTTTAATACCAGTGGGAAAAATGATAATGAAAGGGATTAAAAGTTGGCAGGTATGAACTTAGTACAGAATTTGTTTAAATTGAATGCATATAATGATGATCAAAAGCATTTTAAATCAAATTAATTGAATAAAAAATAAAAGTACGAATCGTAAAATGTTAGATGTGCCCTTTTAAGTATTAGAAAAAAAAACTCCAGCTTCATTTGGAGAAGTAGGTATGTTTGGCAATGCATACCAGTTAAACTTTTTTTTTTGAGGATGAACTTCTGAAGTGGTGATAAAATGATAAAGGAATTACTATAGTTAGGGTTCTCACAGTCCTTAGAAAATTTAAAAAATATATTCTAATAAAGAATAATAAATAATATTCTAATAATTAATATTCAATTAATTAATATTCTAGTAATTAATATTCTAATATTTATTATTCTAATAATTAATATCCTTATAATTAATATTCTAATAAAAAATAATAAATAATATTCTAATAATTAATATTCTAATAAAGAATAATAATTAATATTCTAATAAAGAAGTCGCAAATTCCTTTTTATTAACTTTAACCCTTTGGTTCCAGACTGGATACCAGTATCCTATTTATATATTTTTCATTATGACTCTCTAGTTACAGGAAAAACTATATTTTGGAATTTTTTAATTATAAGAAACATACTATTAGTTACTAAAAAAATTACTCTCTTGGAGTATTGGAATCACATTTGTACTAAAATATAAAATCCGTAAAAAGTAGCCCAAAAAGTTTGTTCTCATTCATATTCAAAACTTTATCAACAATTAAATATGTAAATTGAAGGTATTTTAGCGATAAATAACTGTTTCTTTTAGATCTAAGTATCTGTAACTAAGAACAAATTTTGAAAAGTTGAACCTATTTGCATGGAAGTGAACGTATTTTGGATGATTTTACCTTTGACGTTGAAAAAGACAACGGTGTTTCATGTTGTATTTAATTACCATAAGTTATTAAAAAAAAAGCTAAATTAAATATTGTTGGCTTATTTGGATCTAAATTGATACAAATTAATAGAAAAAATTATGAAAAATATGATGAATGAAGATTTTGCGTCAAAGAGTTAAAGCTTAAAATTTTATTCTTCACTTCACTTAAGAAATGGAGATGGGTAAATGAACAAAATATGGCCTTTGCAGATTCATCGTGGCCATAACATTCAGTCAGGTAGATAAATTATATAAAAATGAAAAAAAAATTACGCATAAGAGAGGAGTGAATATCGTGTTTCCTTGACGGCTGGGTGTAATAATGGATGAATTTAATTTATAAATTTAGTATATAAATTTTATGTCTTGGCATATCTCTGAAAAAGTGCGCAGCAATGGGCCTAATTTATTTGCTTTCTAGTTTCGGGTACTGAAAAATATTATAAAAGTTTACTTTATAGCATCTCTCGTTAATCTCTCTTTTTTAAATCCTTTTTGTCTCTATTGTGTTATTATATATATATATGAAACTTTTCTAGTATATTAAGATTTAAAATTTGGTCAAAGTACTTTTTTATTATTCAAATGCCAAAACTAATAATGTAAAAGCTAGAAAAATGAAATTCTAAGTACATAAAATACTGTATGTCATTGTTAATACGGTTCAAAAAATATTTAAATGTGCTTAACGAAAAATTGAAAATTTTAAATCATTTAATCTCACCACTATTTGTCATTTCGTAATTAAAATATATTCGTATGGAAACTTCTTTCCGAAACTGCTCATAACAATAAGCAGCAGAAATGTTAATTGCTCCTAAATTAACTTTAAAATGAATTGATAGCGAATTAAATAGTTGATACAAAGTTAATGACCATTCTTTAAGTTCTAACACGAGATATCTACTAAAAAAATGCATTTCATATGTTGCTTTGAATTTCTGATGTACATTGATAGAAAAATTAGTTAAAATAAGAAATACTAAACTAAAAATAACTACCACTAGAAAAGGTTCTTTCCAAAGCGGAGCAAATTAACATTTCTGAAGTAGAACTTCTCAATAGAAGTACAGAAAATATGCAGTTGTTGAAAGTTATGCAATAGCGAAAGCGGTAAAACTATTTCTCTTCTGAGTTGAGTTTGTGCAACACTTTGCAGTGATGTTAAGAGTACATTTTCGAAAAGGTGGCCGGGATTTAGCGCTTAAACTACGTAGCGAACTTTAAATGTAATTTCCACATTAGTTTTAAAACTCATGCAAAGGCAGAATTTCTGTCCAAAATATAATTACTCATTTATTTGTATATTTGATTTCAAAACGTATCTTTTTGATGAAAATGCATGTATATAGTAATGCTAAGATTTAAAGTAAGACAATAGAAAATAATTTAAAAAATATATTCAAAGGGAAAATGTCTCTATCTAGAAATGTTAAGGTGTAAAACCCACAATAGTAAACTATTTAAAAAAATATCCTCAAAATAAAAATGCCTGTATCTAATAATGCTAAGTGTAAAATCGAACATAGAAAATAATTATAAAAAGTTTTCTTTAAATGAAGCTGTCTGTTTCTAGCTATCAAAAGGGGTTAATGCTAACAAAACAAAATTATAAAAAAATAAAAACATCCTCTAGATGAAAATGCATGTATATAGTAATGTTAAGGTTTAAAGTCTTACAATAGAAAATAATTTAAAAAAAATATATTCAAAGGAAAAATGCCTCTATCTAGAAATGAAAAATGTCAAATGCTAAGGTGTGAAAGCCAACAATTGAAAATTATTTCAAAAAATATTCTCAAGTGAAAATGTCTGCTTTCTAATGCTAAGGTGTAAGAGCCAACAATACAAAATGATTTAAAAAATTTTTTTCAAAATGAAAATATCAGAATTTTATAATGCTAAGGCTCGAAATCGAACAGAGGAAAATAATTTCACATTGGAATGGAATTTTTATTATCTTCATTAATAAACAATTTATAATTCAACTAAAATAATAAAAATGATAAAATATATAATGCTATTTGTCCAAGATGTCAGAAAATGCCTGTGCCTAGTAATGCTAAGGTGTATAGTCCAGCAATAGAAAAGAATTTCAAAAAGTTTCTTTAGAATTAAAAATTTGTTTATTGCCTTCATAAAACCATTTATCATAATGGCTTTGTTGGAATGATAAAAATGATGAAATTCGTAATGTAATTTCCTGTGTATATCAGTAAATGCCTGATTGGATCTTCCCCATATCGATCTATGTGTCCGGGACCGAACACCTGGGGTCCTCGAAGTCAGGCATAACTCACCATGATTCCATAACACCCGGACTGATCCATCCCTTCTCTCCCGCAGGAACTGCCTCCACCGCCGGTTCCGGACTTGGCCCAAACCCTAGAACGGTACTTGGCCGGACTCCGGGCTGTCATCCCCGCCGCACAATATGAGAGAACCCGGCAGTTGGTCGAGCAATTTTGCAATGATCCAGGATCAAAGCTACAAGCCGAATTAATTAAATTTGCTGAGAATGTAGACAACTGGGTAAGATTGATTTTTCATTTTTATTTATTTAATTTCTCATTTATTTGTTTTCATTTCAGGCCCAAAGATATTCGGATTTGATTCAAAAATAAGAGTTGGTCATACAATATTTTATTTTTTTAATTTCTAAAGTAATGGTTTGTTTTTAATTTACAAGATTGATTCTTAACTAAAATTGTATCGAATGCGTTACGATATTTAGCAAAACGAACGCGTTATAAAATAAACTTCTTAAAGTGATGCTTTTCGCATTTATTTGTTACTTTTCTTCTTCTTCTTTTTTTTATAAATCAACCGAATTATGAACTAAAATTATAAATTTATCGTTTACATAAATATTCAATATTAAATAGCTTTTTTTATTTTCAATCAAAATTCAGCCTATATGGAGGGGACAATTACTAATATTGTTTCGGTTATATATTTTTTTTATTTTATTATAATAACAATAAAACATCGTTGCTAATTGTTTATTTCGTAGAAAATGATTAGGAAAAGACAACTAAAATGGTTTTCAATGTAACAAATTTCACTAAACAGCTTTGCTTCATTGTCTTCGTATGAATTTTAGAAGAGAATTTTTTCATTAAAGCTCATTTTATGATATGAGGGGAGATAAATTTACAAATGCAATATTTACATAAAGAACTAATTAGTGTAAATCTTAATGATTAAAATCATTTTATCGATTTGAAATATTTCTATAACTGATAGTAAAAGGGTACCAAAACTTTTTATTATCAATTAATTCGTTTTTTTATAAATAAATAAAAAAACATGTGTGCGTTGCTACCTACCTTTAAGGTATAAGTAGTAGCAAAATCGTTACCTTTCTATATAATTATTTCATTTATAAATTAATTTAAAATGTTCCTGAAAATTACTGCATGGAACTAAAATAAACAATAATGCACAGTATGTAAGTAATGGATGGTATATTAGATAAATAAACGAAACGTGCATTTAAGCATACAATTTTAATTTAATTGTTGTACCGCACGAGAAAATCATCTTAAAGAATATAAAAGTTCACTGGTATGCATAAGCATGCTAGCTAATTTTTTACGGGCTTACATTTTAGACATTCTCTTTAGTTATTACGAAAAAATTCCTAACATTGTAAGAGAAGTTGAGATCATGTTTAAATATTTATACGCTGAGTTCTGTAAACTTTTAAAATTATGAGCATACTAAAATTATATAACTTCGCTACAAACAGATAAAATAAACATTAAAGCACAATAAGTAAGTAATGGAAGACACATTAGATAAATAAAGGAAATGTGTATTTAAGCGTAAAATTTTTATTAAATTGCTGTTGAGAAAATCATCCTGAAGAAAATAAAAGTTGGTTGATATGCACATGCATTCTGACTAATTTTTAAGGGCTTACATTTTAGACATTCACTCTAGTTAATATGAAAATATTCCTAACATTTTAAGCACCGTTGGAACCATGTTTAAATATTATACGCTGAGTTCTGCTAACTTTTAAAATTATATACTGCAGCTAATTTATGAACACAAATAAATATTAAACAGTTAACTTTTTGGGAAAGTCACTTTGTTATCATAAATGTTACTTTATTGAATTATTTGATCTTTGTAAATGCTTAAAGGGAAAATAATTAATTTCAAATGTAACGTTTTTTTAATATTATTATTTAGGATAAGTTATAACCCCATCTTCAAAATTGCATATTTTTTTACTGTAACAAATATAAGAAAATAAATCTATATAATAATCAATTTAAAAAGTGTTTTTTATATCTTTCAATCTCTTTTATAAATTTAAATTTTTTTATATTCTGCCATCGAAGGTAAATATACTTTAAATATATAAACTGTATTTAAAATTTTCGAAAAAACAGTTAAATTAACTCAATTTTAGAAAATTATTTTCGCTTTTATTATTATTTTGAATGCATATTGTATAGTTTTTCAACGACCGTACGGGTTAGGTGGGCTTTTATATATTCTCTGAAACAAATATTATCCTTGGTTATATAAATTAGACTCTTGAAGAATTGTGATTCGCACTACCTATAACGAATTTAAATTAATATAATATTCGCAGAGATGCCAAATGCTCCAGACACGACAAAACAATTTAAAAAATAGCAAATAACTACTAAATTTGCATTGATTTGGCAACACGAATAGATGCTAAGAAGTGGCGAAATATATAACATTTCAAATTATTTAGAAATACTGGTGGATTAAAACCTAATAAATAGAATTTATTAAACCATGATTCATACAATAAAAAACTACCACTCGAAAATATTTATCTGCTGTCCGCAGCAAGTTGGCATCTCTGTATCAGCAGCTAAGTTACTGAGAAAATATGAAGAAGCTGTCACAAGCATATCACAATCGACAACTGAAAGTTATTTTTACTGTCGAGTCTTTCCAGTGCTGGTTATCCCGATTTATTTACATTAGTGGTTAAAAACAAAGTATTTATTCTTTCTTCAAAAACGAAGAACAAATTGAAAATGAAATAGTTTTAATACAACTTTTTTTAAAACAGTTTATTAGAATTTTAAGCAGTTTTTCTTGTCATACTCTCATAACTTACATAAAAGCTTTTGCATGCATATGTAATATGAATTAAAGTAGCATTTTAAATCTTTTAATCCCCAAAATAAATTCGAATATTTTTTTATAACTTCCATAGAAATGAGAACTACGATAAATTTTATTAATACTTTCAGCGTTAGTCTTTTTTAACCCATTTTTGCCTAACGTTCTTTCAAAATGGCAGCTTCTTTTTATAAAAAGTTTAAAAAAATGATGGCACCACTGTTTTATTATTTGAATTTATCTTGTAAACACGTTAGGTCAGCCGTAATATATTAAATATATAAGTTTATTATAATTGGATATGAAGTTGGAGCAAAATACTTTTTAAAACAAAAAGTGGTTTATGCAATCAGCAATATTAAAAAAAAAAATTTACAAACAAATGTCATTTACTTCCAATTTCTTATATAGCTGCAATTTATATGTTAACAATTTTTAGTTACGATTGCAGGGATGCCAACTGTACCGCTTTCTGCAAAACTTTTAAGAACTTGGTAGCGAATTAAAAATAAAACTTGTAGAATAAGGATAATTATGTCAACTCTTTAAAAGTGTCACCTTAAGATAACTGCAATCAAGTAGCCTTTCATGTGTAGGGCTGCAAACTTTCTACCCATTTTGCAAAAATTTATTCTAGCGGTAGCTAAGTTTATGTTCCATGCATTATTTTTTATTCGTTTAAACTTATTTTCTCCAGCACTGCGCATAAATGATTTAACAATTCATAAGCAATGCCACTTTGTAAGGGCTTTCTTGTTGGGAACCTTTTAAAATGTCTGCAAAATTACCAAAAATTCTGAAAGCTTTGGTTTTTAAATGTCTACAACTCTGTTAAATATTTTGCGAAAAGTGCAGTAGTTGGCAGGCATGCATATGATACTTTGAATTTCTGATATGTATTGGCAGAAAAATTACTTAAAATGAAAAAATACTAAACTAAAAATAATTTAGATTTCGTTACCACTAGAAAATTTAATTTTACAAATCGCAGTAAGTTAGCTACTGTACAATTGACTTGTTTCCACTCAATTACATATTGAATAATCGGTTAACACGCGCTTAGAGAAATAAATTTAGTAGAACTAAGTTCATGAATGGCGAATTTTACGCATTTTGTTTTAAATTTAATTTTTATATTTAATTGTTATATTTAAAAATGTAGTAAAAAACATATTATTTATTTCATAAATTTATAAATTGAATTAATAATAGTTTTGACCACTACAGAAAATAAAAAATTTTTGAATACAATAATGCATGGTACTTTTATTATGCTGTATTTAAGCCTTTACAACTTGAAAAATATATATTTCTGCTTATCATTCAGTTTTTTTCATAACCACTAGGAGAAAATATTTTTGCATATGTCCAATATAAAATTTCCTCGCTTAAAAATTATTTAGGGTTGCCAGCCATCGCTAAGTTGTATAAAGAAGAAGAGAAAAAATTTTTTTTTTAAGAAATATATCTTGCCTTGATATATGGTGTATTGAAGGACCTGCTCGTGGCAGTGAACACCTAACTTCTTCAGCTATTACGTTTGCCCTTGGGAGACAGAAACTTACATGAAATATATCATCAACTAAAAATTGAATTTAGTTTAAAAACTAATCAAATCTTATAGGTTTTTTTTGCAATGTTTTTTCCAATTCCTATACTATGCCAGAATTGTTGCTCATTTCGCGTTACCCAGTGGGCACCTGTGAACCAAAGTCACGGGGCCGAGCAACATAGACCACGCCACACTGCCAGAAACCCGTTTATAGGGTAGGCCACATTCACACATCATACACACACGCAACAGAGGACAGCACAAAAAGAGAGAGAAACATCCATGCCCAAAGCGGGATTCGAACCCGCAACCTATGGCTTCGCAGTCAGGCACGCTAACCGCTCGGCCACCTGGCCGGCAAATCTTATAGGTAAATTTGAAGAAAAGGAAGGATTTTTTTACGTGCTTTTGGAACATTTCACTCACACATCATTTAGAATATGGAAAGGTAAGAAATGTTCTGTGTTAAATGCGTGTCGTTGTTGTTGTTGTTAGTTTACGTCGCACTAGAGCTGCACAATGGGCTATTGGCGACGATCTGGGAAACATCCCGGAGGATGATCCGAAGACATGCCATCGCAATTTTGATCCTCTGCGGAGGGGATGGCACCCCCGCTTCGGTAGCCCAACGACCTGCGCGCGAAGTCGAGCACTTTACGGTAGCACAGTTTAACGAGGACCAATACCGCACACCCTCGGTCCCTACGCAGACTGATCCAAGTGGTCACCCACCCGCACACTGACCGTAGTCAGTGATGCTTGACTTCGGTGATCTGCTGGGAACCGTGTCGTAACGATCAGTCCACTGCGGGACTAAATGCGTGTCAAAACAGTCAATTGTTGATTTCTTCGAAAGGGAATA